CTAAGGTTATTAGTATTTATAACGTTCTTAATTGTTAACCAAAGAAGATGAAATTCAGATTATATATAAATAATACAAGTTCCTACATTATTCAATCATCAGATATGAAGATGATATGATACCTGTTTGTTTGATATTCATGTTGCTGTAACTTTCTATTGTAACAGAGTTAAAAGTGGCTATGCGTTGTATATAATGAGGCCACGCTCCTACTAGCACTAGCTAGTGGGTTAACCCTTTAGCTCAGTCGGTAGAGCGTTGGATTTTAAATCTGAGGGTTATAGGTTCGAGCCACAGTGTGGACACCCCTAGCTAATCGGTCATACTATGTTCTCAGTGAAATTCTTTGAAATTTAAATTGGAGCTCTTTCTTATGACATTCTATCAGATTTTCTACACGAATATGGTATTTTTCGAAATCATGTGCTTGCACGTGTACTTAAATCTGATTTCCTTATTCTCACTGTGCAATATTTGTATTGTTTTTTCTTCAAAATGCTTTTAAAAATAAGTTGATAAAGTCTATAATACAAAGGTTTTGCTTAATCTGTTGAAGCATATAGGAAATATGGTCCAAAGGGAATGGGGGTGGGCGTTTTGGGAACATCAGTAACGGTCTCTGTTACGATTAGAACTAGTTGTTTTCAAATCTTGCTTTCTCCTTTGTTTAACAGTTGTTAGATTGTTGAAGTATAATTATGATATGTTCTTACATGAAAACATTACGAGTTTTAATATTTGTTGGAAACAAGAACAGTAGTGTTAAAATGTTGTTGAATTCCTGTTATTTCAAAAAAGGATACTGATTTTTGTCTTCGATATACCCGTGACTATACGAGGGTTGTCCCAAAATTCCGTAGACTGAGTTCATATCTATTACAGATATCAACGTATCTTAACATAATTTTGTGGGTGTATTAAATGTGTTTTTAGCTGATCAATTACGATGTTTTAACAACATTACTTGAAAAACGTAGGAGTAATAAGAATTTCAATGTTACCGTGTCCTCCCACCCGGCGCAATCTCCGACATAAAAAATACCGGTACGTAAAATAACAGAATTGTTAAAGTTTTTCAAAAGTAGGTCATACTTTATGTTTGTTTGTTTTTAACGTCTCTCTCAAGGTTAAATTATGTAAAAATAGGTTAAACTCCAAGGTCAAGAGGTCAAATATGTTGGTACCCAAACAAAAGTCTTGTCATAAGGAATATACGTGTGAAATATGAATGCCCAGACAAAAAGACTAACAGACAGAAAGACGGATGTTCAGACCAAAAAATATTTGTCCCCCGAATCTTCGATTACAGGGGTATTGAAAAGGCATGAAAGTATACATTACATCAATTAAACATATCACAGAAAGTCATGCAGATCATGCTCTTGAGTATAGAATAAGTTGGGAGAATCTATCATAGCTGAATAGTGTAAAAATTCATTGAAGTATCCTTTATCAAAATATTTTAAATACAACTGGATGTCCTATTTTACTTTGTGTTAAAATGGGACATATGACAATATTAAGAGCTACCATAGCAGGGAAAACTAAGTATGCAAACCAAGTTATCTTTCTTTCTCAATTAAGTGTGATATCTCCTGTATAGTGGCTCACTGTTCGGACAAATTTATGTTACTTAGCCATTTTTTTCATCAATTACACTTCATTGATATATTAAATCGTAGAAAAGGTATTTCAATTATTGTACCTTTGTCTACATGTCTGAAAATAAAATGGATGAAAGAGAATTGAACCTGATCCCTTAACTTAAGGGAGTACTTGTAAAAGAAAAATTCATGGTTTATTTAAAATTGTTCATGGACGGAACCAATGTTCTTCTAAAAAAGTTCTTGACTCATACTAATGGGTTGAGGTTTTTTAACCTTCTTCTGCAGACAGTTATAAGGGACCAGGCAAAATTTATCACAATGATGGGACCGGTACAAAACAAAATTCTCAATAAAAAAAAATTACATGTCCCATGGCATTCAAACTTTAAAAAAATATTTGTCCCATGCATTTAGGCTTGTAAAAAAAAAGTTAGCGTCCCATGGTTATATCTAGATGTTCATGAGATTTTTGGAACAAAAATAACAAGAAGTGCATTGATAACAATTTTAGTTACTGAAGGAGTTTTTCAGATTACAGATATTTCAAACATCGATGAAAGTTTTTTGGATTGATTAAACGATGAAAGTTTTCTGAATTGATTAAACTTGAGACGTACACCATTCGTGTATAAAGTACATGATTGATTCTGATGATGCTCTAGAATTTTTTAGTGGAATATTTTGAATGCATGATATTTATTGAAATGATTTGTTTGTTTATTATATTCATAACGTTTATTAACATTGTTACTTTGTTAATTTTCCCATTAATTTGAAGATTTATGTTGCAACTTGTATCCTTCCTTTGACTTAAAAGATATGACTTTTTTGGAAAAAATAAAATATAAAATATTTTTAAATATTATAAATGTATCTCTTGTGTTAAGAACTGTAACTCATTATTAAAAAGTTTGTGTCACATGGGTACTTAATGCTAAAAAAAGTTTTTGTCCCATGGTTTTTTTTTTTTTCGATGAAAAAAATCATTGTCCCATACCTATTGGACTGGTCCCATCATTGTGATAAATTTTGCTTGGTCCTTTGGTTATCGTAGGGAAGAAATTGAAAAATAAAAAAAAATGAATATAAAGTAAAATATACGTGTACGGTCTAATTTTTCCGTTTGAAGACCTCTAAAACATACTTAAAGGACATGGTTCATACTGCTAGTTTGGTATTAAATCATTAGGTAAAATTTCTGAAAATCAAACAGAGGTTCAAAATACATTTTCAAACAGAAAATCAAATTTCCCTAACAAAAATACTTTAGTAGACTTAAGATAATTATCGGAAACTATAGTTAATTATCGTGATAACTTTGACACCATGGAAACTATAGTTAAATATAGTGATGACTTTGACACTTTGATTTACTTTAGTTATAACTTTGAAACTTTTTACTTACTAAAGTGATATCTATGAAAACTTTGATTTACTGTAGAGTTAACTTTGACACTTTGGTTTATACAGGTCAGATACTTTATATCGCTCTGTATAAGGTAATAACTCTACACATCAAGTTTGAAATACCTAATGGCATTTGCATTGTGAAACAGTGACCACTTTCTAATGTACCATACTAATAAAATAAAACATAAGTGGGTCTTTAATTTTCTTCATTAAAAGATTTGATATTTTTAAAAAGTGAAAGGAGAGACCGACCTAATTTATTAATTTAGAATTATCTTGCCATTACTAATTATTGAAAAATTATGTTTTAGTTTTAGGAATAAGATTTTAAATGAAAGGTATTCAATAGAAAGTGCATGGAATTTTCATATTGTAAATGCATGACATTAACAGCTATCTTTCATCAAGGACAAAAAAGTCTGCATTACTAGTAAATATCCTAGTTTTAAAATTATATATGACTTCTATCCCACAAAACTGATTTACTCTAGGGATAAGATGACACTTTGAATGTTGATATTGTTATCACTTTGAATACTTTGATTAATTTTAGAGATTACTATGATACTTTGATTAAATATAATGATCACTATGACACTAAAGTGTTCACTGTAAAAACTTAGTGTTTACTATGACACTAAAGTGATAACTTTTTAAAAATTTGATTTACTTTTAATTAATTATGACTTTGACACTTTGATTTACTTGAGTTAATTAAACAAACCATAATTACTTATAGTAAACTATACTTCACTATTGTATTTTTTTTTAACTCATCTGAAGAACAAAATATCATCAGTACATCATATGAGACAATGTTTATGTTATTAACAATTTACGATTACTTTATATGGTGAAATTATACACGTTGGTGTGTGCTAAATTTTCAAGGGTTTGATAATATTTCAACAAAGGTGTCAAGTTCTAAGAAAGGAAATGCATTCCAAAGGAGTGTAAAGACTTAGTATAAGATGAATCAAGAGAACACCAAATGAAAAGACATCATTGTATTTATTTATGGTTTCGTATACCAGCACTGAAAAATGATAAACACAATTGGCTTTTATTTGATCTTAAAGGTTAATAGAGGTTTGAATAATGCATGGCGGCAGATAAACATAGATTTCATAAATGCAACTGATATTAAACTTAATAAACCTGGTTTATTATGCCAAGGACATGAAAAGAACAAAGCTAATTTTAATGAAAATGATCTAGAGAGGATATACATGTTTGGAATTCTTAACTTTTTTGAGCTACGTGCTGAAAGACACATTGTGTTATAAAGAATGATGACCTTTGGAACTTCAATGTATCCGGATAAAAAAAACTGTCAATGTCATCAACTCTGAAATATTTATGGCACTTGCAAAAATGTGTATTAACAGAATTTTCACCACTCTACTTTCGAATTATTAGTAAAATATTTATTTTATAATAAACATTTATTGAATATTTCCTTTTCTTTATGTCAACCATTGGAAAAATATTCTTAGAAATTGTTGAATATGTGCATAAAATATATAATTACAATAGGTATTAGTTCTAAAATTATGTACAATTCGGTTTTTTAAATACTTTTATCTGAAGTTTCTTCATTGGTTTACTTACAGGGACTAAAATAAATACCTTACAAATGAACAAATCTTATCTAATCTCTGGTTGTGTAAAACGAAGAAAACAGGCCTTTTTAATATACATTAAGTAAATAAGACATAATATTGGCGGTTTCAATTGGTTTTACGAAGCGTTAATAAAAACCTTAGCTTCTACATTAAATGCCAGTCAAAATGTCAGGCTGTTTTTTAAGAAGGCGACAAGAATTAAATGCCAAGTCCATCGATTCATTTGTTTTTTATTGATAAATACGGATTTGTATTTTTATCAGTACATCCGATCTCAATCCATAATCTTTAGATAATGGTATAAGTTTTTTAATGCGTCATTTAGACTGAGTGATTTGGAACGTAATTTTGTGACCACCCTTATAATGACAACCATCGAATGGCCATACAGATTTGTATATGAAATGTATACGAAATAAGTCGTTTAAAAAGCAATTTAAACTTTTATGTATAACCTTGATATTTATTGTTGTTTTGTTTTTGAGTTAAGGAGATTTTAAAGAGAAGAGAGAAGCAGAAGACAGAGCATGGAAATTGGAGTTTCAGTAAAGCAAAATCGTTTGCCTAAAGAAAAGAGAGCAGGTACTTTATTTATTGCTTTTAATGATGATTTCATTGAAACTTTATTTCATAATTATATTAAAAAAAACGATGCAGAAATGACAAATTACTAAATTAAATTAAAATGCAAAATGTGATTTTTTGATGAAACTGGTGGGCGTAAAAGTTCTAAAATATTTAAGTGCACAGTTAGTAAATTTGTTGCGTGAAATGTGATGGTACGGGGGTATAATTATTTTCTTTCTTTTTGATTTATTAGGTCACCTGAGTCACTCAGGTGACCTATTGCTATCCGTTCTCGTCCGTCGGCGTGCGTCGTGCGGTGTGCGTCGTGCGTCGTGTGTTAACATTTGAACATTTTTAGCTTCTTCTCTGAAACCGCTTAACCAATTTCAACCAAATTTGGCATATAGCATCTATGGGTAAAGGGAAACAAAAATTGTGAATTTCATGGTCCCTGCCCCCCTGGGGCCTGAGGGGTGGGGCTAAAACCACCAAAAATAATGCAATCTTTAAAAATCTTCTTCTTTACTCCTGGACATCAAGCAGTCAAACTGTTGGCATCATTGTAGTAAGCATTGAGACCTCTACCAAAATTGTGAAATTCATGGCCCCAGGGTCAGGGGTTCTGGTGCTAGGGTGAGGCTATATAGATCATATAGTGAAAGTGCATTATTTCTTTGAAAATCTTCTCCTCTGCTCCTGGGTATTAAATAAAGTAACTAAGTACATAGTAATGAAGAACAAGAGTGCCTCTTTCAAAATTATGAAATTCATGGCCCCTGGGTCAGGGTTTCTGGTGTTAGGGCGGGGCTCTATTGATTATATAGAGAAAATGCATTAATTCTTTGAAAATCTTCTTCTCTGCTCCTGGGTAGTAAATAAACTAACTAAGTACATAGTTATGATGAGCAAGAGTGCCTCTTCCAAAATTGTGAATTTCATGGCCCCAGGGTCAGGGGTTCTGGTGTTAAGGCGGGGCTCTATTGATTATATAGTAGAATTGCATTAATTCTTAAAAAATCTTTTTCTCTGCTCCTGGGTATTAAATATACTAACTAAGAACATAGTTATGGTGAGCATGACTGCCTTTTCAGAAATTGTGAATTTCATGGCCCCAGGGTCAGGGGTTCTGGTGTTAGGGATGGGTTCCATTGATTATATAGTAGAATTGCATTAATTCTTTAAAAATCTTTTTCTCTGCTCCTGGGTATTAAATATACTAACTAAGAACATAGTTATGGTGAGCATGACTGCCTTTTCAGAAATTGTGAATTTCATGGCCCTTGGGTCAGGGGTTCTGGTGTTAGGGATGGGCTCCATTGATTATATAGTAAAATTGCATTAATTCTTTGAAAATCTTCTTTTCTGCTCCTGGATATTAAATAAACTAAGTACATTGTTATGATGAGCATGGCTGCCTCAGAAATTATGAATTTCATGGCCCCTGGGTCAGGGGTTCTCCAGGTGTTAGGGCTTGACTCTATTGATTATATAGGGAAAAGGCATGAATTCTTTCAAAATCTTCTTCTGTGCGCCTGGGTATTTTTCAAACAAAGGAAGTGCATGGTTATGATAAGGAAGAATGCCTCATGGCCCTTGGGTCAGGGGTTCTGGTGAGGGGGGAAGAGCTCTATTGATTATATAGTGAAAATGCATAATTTCTTTCAAAATATATTTTCTACTACTGGTTATAAAGTAAAGAAACAAATGTATAGTTATAATGAGAAAGGGTGCTTCTTCCAGAATTGTGAGTTCATGGCCAATGTTCTGGGGTAAGGATGGGGCTTTATTAATTTAATACTATGGTGAAAATGCATTTCTTTGAAAATCTTCTATGCTTCTGGGGATGGTCAAGGCAAACAGAGTAAAAGTTTTAATATCCAAGGGTATTTTTACCAGAATTTTGAACATCTGGACCATTTAGTCAAAGTGTTCATAAGTCCTGGCCAGGGCTCTATTAAGTTGTATTCTGCTGAGCAAAGTTATTCCCCTTTGCCATTCACCTTTGATAATTTATCAATGTAAATAATGTATTTGAAAGCTTAGTAGAATAAGAGAATTATGCAAGATAATTTATTGTATAATAAAAAAGTACTTTCATAGTTTTAATGACTTGGAAATAATAGAAAAATAAAAATGAGACAAAAATAACTTCTCTTTTTAAATGTTCTTCAAAGGCGAAGAGAGGCCATTGTGAGAAGAAATAATATGGGGTTAAATGAAAGACATGACATTTTGTTAATATTCTGCAGGAATAGTGATAAATGGGGGGGGGGGGGGGGCAGATAGATACTAGACCAATTATTTTGTTGATGCTAATCATACTATTTTTCTTGCTTTTTGGGCAACAAAGCTTCATTTTTCAGTTTATGGATCCTCTAAATTGTTGTATTGTACTCAGGTGACCGTTAAAGCCCTTGGGCCTCTTGTTTGTTGTTTCTTTCGATTTTATTCGTATTTATTTTGTTTAAAATATGAGATATCTAATATTCATTACGTTGTTTTGTTTTGAATTGTGTTATGTTTGTTCAGGTTTATTTCAATTGAATGATACAAATCAAATTTGAAGTGTTTTATCTTGGATTTTACGTTTGTGCCTGAATAATAATTAATATTAAAGATTACAAATCTTGTTATTTCCCAAAGTTACTACACAAGAGATTTATGAAATACCTCACGTAATAAAAACAATTATTCTAAAGTGCTTTGGTACAAATAACTAAAATTATATTTTAATGGATTAAAACATATTAAAATATCTAATATATCTATATTATGCCAATTTTAATTTGAATAAAAATGAAAAGAATATGAATTTGGTATTTAAAAAAACAACAGAATATTAAAACATGAATATAAGAATGTCTCTCTAAGTATTGAGGGTGAGATAAAATGTTTTTACGTCCTCTGGGAGGATGTTCCTGAGAATCTGACATATATTTATATTCTCTGTACATATTTTCCTGATGTATATAACATTAGATACATTATACGTCTCAGAAAACACTTTGATTGAAAACTTGATATGTAGTATATTGATATATATATATATATATATATATATATATATATATATATATATATATATATATATATATATATATATATATATATATATAAACCTTGATATGGAGTACATCATTTATATCAGAAATGTTAGATAGTACTGATACTAAAGATCTGCTATTGAGTAGGATATGGATTGTAATTCTTATTAGAAGAGGAATTATAAAGATGAAGAATGAATTAATTAACTCATGCATTCTATTTTAGTTTTAAGAGCACTTCAAAATTCTACATGATATGTAGTTCACGACAGAAAAATTTTCATTCATTGTAGAATTGCTGAAAATATTTAAAGCTTTTGATGAGAATGGGGATGGAAAGGTTTCAAAGCACGAGCTAGCTCGAGCATCCAGGAGGACTGGAAGCAATAAAACACTCAAGGATATAGAAAAAGTACTCCGGACGATCCACACTGATTGTAAGACTTAATTATTAGCAGTAATAATTTACTTACAGGTTTCCTTAAACTTTTAACGTCTAAATGATGAGAATGATTATTTTATTCATATGAAGCAGAATTTATTCATAAAACTCCTATATGAAACAAAGTTCTCTTAATGTGCCTTCAGTTTGATATAAAGATATTTCGAAAACGTTTCAACAATTAACAATACTCAGTTTAATTCCTAAAATGATTTTATTTTCCAATTGAACTCGAAATAAAAGACACCACAGAATTTGAAACACCTGTTTCATATTTGATTTTTTCCGAGAAAAAACTTTGATGGCGAACTGATAACTAAACTTTATGTTAAACTTGATGACTTCAACTTTTCAATTGTCAACTTCACTTATTTATTAGCGATGTAACATTACATCCTGCATATAAGATTTAATGTCTCCTGGTTGATTCGATGCGCAAGAGTATTTCCTACATTGAACAATTTCTACAACAAGGCATGCTTTGACGAATCAGTTGATGATACAAGGATATTATGAACCTCATTTAAAGGCAGCAATTCGTAAATTTTATGGTAAAAAATGACCTTGTTTGCATATTCCATCCGTCGTTAAGTCAATTGATGAAATCATGCAAACTGTTTGGTCATCATTTTCACCCCGAATTATCAACGGATTTTCCCGTTCACCCGATCAAGACAAGGAACACACGGCAGATGTGTGACAGGTCGACAGGGGATGCTTACTCCTCCATGCACCTGATCCCACCTCTGTTTTTAGAGGTCCTTGCTCATAATTTATATTGTTTAAATTGACTTTTAAGAATGATCACTATTCGTTATTATCAAACATATTTTTTTGTTTTTCTGCATCTTTAGCTGATGGTTATATCACCTTTCCTGAGCTGGAGAAAATGTTAGCTGGACAGAGTGTTGAGATTGACTATGAAGATGAAATGTTACTTGCTAAATTTAATGAATTTGATTTGGATGGCGATGGATCCATTACAAAGAAGGAACTAAAAAAAGTGCTTCGCTCTATGGGATGTGAAATGCCAGAGGAGGAGGCAGAGGCCATGATTCGGGAAGCCGATAAAAATGGCGATGGTGTCATCAGCTTTGATGGTAAACAGATTTGATTCTTATTTTATGTGTTATGTATTGTACATTGAATGTTTTATATATTGTGTTATCATGGCAACACACTTAATACCTGTCCTCCCTTAAATCTATTTTAACAGAGTTTAAGGCTGTTTTAACAAGTGGGGACTTCTAATGGCCACCTACCTTTTCACCTGACAACAAATACTGTGTTGAGACTTTTGAGAAGAAGTTAGTCTCTTATCATTGTGATCAAAGACTTCTACACAGCATAAACAGAACATTGTAATAATCACGATGTAAATGATGAATTCTCTATGTTAAACCATTATCATGTGAATGACTGACTATGCTTTGTAACATACGAAAAACGTATTCATGTTAAAGTCTGTATATATCTCTCAGCCCACATTCATCATCGAGTATAAAGCTTGGTAATTTTCCATTAAATATCATTGTTTATCAATCATTCATTCAATCAATTCAGAATAATCGTAAGAAAGAAAAATAATAACAACAAGTGTTTCATTTCGTGCTACATCGAGCATGATAGAGTATTGTCAAAGTATTACCAAAGTAATCAAATTGAGAAATGCTTTACCAGTCGGTGTTTTTATTTTAGAAATTCTTATTATGCAGGATATTGTGTTTTATCTTAGGGAGGCTTGAGTAATTTAACCTAGTGCTATGCAATTTCTCATTTCTTAAAACCGTATTCTTTATGTAAATAATATTGTAAAGTTCGAAAAGTGTTTTCCACATAAATCTTTATTTTATTAAAGTTTATCATTTCCAGTGTTTTGATTGATGTGTTAAAAAAAATATAATGTCGAACAGGTCGGCGAAATATTGGACAATTATGACTTTTTACGTCACACTGGATTTGTATTTGTTAATCTTCGGCTTAGGCTGGATCATCCGACACAAGTCAGCAAGCTATATATCTAATCTGCATTCTTTGGTATTCAACAGTAACGTAAAAGGTATAGCAACACATTTATGGTCTGGGTTCTCTGGCAGAATGTGGGTTGTCGTTCCTTGCATCGGACCAAATTGTTAACTTTGACCTAACGACCCCAGGGAAACAATTTAGTTCTCGGATTCCATTAAACTATGGTTGCGCAGCCATTAAATGTATAATATTATCAAGAACAAAAATTAAAAATATCTCAAAAGACTTGTATATTCAAACAATAGAAGTGATAGGTACCGAAGGTGCTGAAGAGGAAAGAACCCATATAATTACAAGATACCTATGACCACAATGCTCACCTGAGTCATTTTGGCCTCACATTAGGATATTTAGGATATTTTCCAATATATTCCTTTGAAAAAAAATATCACTATTTTGGCCCCACCCTATTCCCAGGGATCATGATTTGAATAAACTTGAATCTACACTATCTTAAAAAGCTTTTATATCATCAAGACCAATCATGCATTTGATATTGAGAAAAATGATGTTTAAAGATTTTTTCTTTGTATTTCTTTATAAAACATTGATCATCCATTATGGCCCAACCCACTCATACAGGTCATGTTTTAACTTTGAATCTACACTACCTGATGATGCTCCCATATAAACATGTCTAAGCTTCTTGAGAAGAAGATTTTTAGATTTTTCCCTATTTATCTTAATGTAAAATTTTTGATCGTCCATCGTGGCTCCACTCTATTCCTGGGGGTCATGATTTGAACAAAATTGAATCTGTACTTCCGGAGGATGCTTCCATATCAATATTATTAATCATGCTTACTGTTCTTAATAATGATAATAAGGGGTTATGATTCGAACAGACTTAATATAAAATGTAATTAATGTTTTACATATCTTTCAACTTTCCTAGCCCAAGATATCATGAGAAGGAGATTTTTAAAAGCGTTTTTCCTAAAAGTTTCCATGTACAACTTTGATAGCAAATGGTGGCCCCATCCTATCCTTGATGGGTTATTATTTGAACAAACTCAAATTTACGCTATGTGAAATGAAGCTTAAACATAAGATATACCTCTCTGGCCCAGTGGTCCTTGAGAAAAAGATTTTTGAAAGATGCCATCTCAATTTTTACTATTTTTGATTATCTCCCCTTGAAAGAAGGCCTGACCCTTGTTTTGAACAAATGTGAATCCCCCTTACAGAAGGAAGCTTTTTGGCAAGTTTTGTTGAAATTGGCTCGGTGGTTCTGGAGAAGATGAAAATGTGAAAAGTTTGTGACAACATCAACGATAACTACAGCTAGACAACAGACTGTTTTTGATCAGAAAAGCTCACTAAAGCCTCCGGCTGAGGTGAGCTAAAATGGAATGGCCCTTGTCTTTTGTTGTTTTTATAACCATGCCCATGGTGGTGTCAATTTTGAAACTTTAAATTCACTAGTTGATTTAAATGACACCATCAAAATTCTACATGCAACTTGTATTAAACGTCCTTTCGGTAAATAAAGATTGGTTAATACACACCTTATACTACTAGTTACAGTCTTAAATAGATTGAATATTCTGAAGTTTTGGGAAGAAGTTTTGAATAATCCAATCATCTGGACATACAGGGCACATGGCAATCATCTGTCTTGTTTATATTTAACATTTAACTGACGTCAACGGAAATAGGATGCATGTTATAGTTCATGGCCGTTAAATGAAGCTTTAATTCTTTTTGTCGTCTCTTTGTATAAGATACCAAAGATACCGAAGATAATCTGCAATTAAATTCTTATCATATCGATGCATGCAGTGTGGGAACATATACTGCATGTTTAACGGGTCGGATTTTAATACCTTGTGTTTTTAATTTGTCTTCACGATATATTAAAGAGCAGGCTCTCTGACATCACAAACAACTGCTTCCCCAATAAAAATGGAACTCAGAAATTTTTACTTCTTCACATTGGTCATCCACAAAATTATTTTGCCAAAAACCATTCGAAGATTATGCCAGACGATGGGTCAAATCCTTTTTACTTTGTCAGAATGGGTTAAAAATATTAAGTTGATGTTGAAATATCGTGTTAACGGTCGAAGAGCAATACAAAAACCATCTATCCTTCTATCTTCAGTAATTCAGAAGTGAAAGAAGAATTAGATAGATTACCCGATTAATGTGTACTGGGTACTGGTCTCAGCTTACAAAGCAGGTAACAACATAATCTTAGTTTTTAAAATTCATCATTACAACTGCATTTTAGATGAGCATGGATTTAATTCTACAATTAGTATACCAACTTATACTCATAGTTCCTTTTATAAAGAAAATATTCTTCAAAATCGTGTTAGTTTTAAATATTTTAGCTATTCCTATAAAGCAAATCCAATTTGAACTACTATACCCCCAAAAAGATATACAGAGGGTTCTAGCTAAAATTCTACCAAGCCTCTTTCTTTATTCCTCGCAAAAATTACTAGTATAATATCAGTGAAGGAAAAACTTCATGAGTACTGTCTAGCATCATATTCCAGAAGTTGTATTTATCAGATGTGGATTTATAAAAACTCAAAGGAACTTTAAGAAAAAAATGAAATCACAAAATTTTGTCTTAATTTATAGCATCAAAACGTATAAATTTTCTACACTTCATACAAGCATTCCCATATCTTTTTAAATTTTATCCTAAGCAATCAATCAAAATTGATAACAACCTATTTTTTGAAATGAATTTTGTTGACAACTTGAGTAAGAATTGACTTTTTCTGTGGTTATGTCGTCATTTTTTTTTTTTTTTTTTTTTTTTTTTTTTTGTGAAAAGATACTAAAGGCAAACTGATAACCAAACCTTATGAAAAACGTAATGACTTGAATTTTTCTATCGACAACCTCCCTTATTTATGTAGCAATATGCCATCATCTCCTGCTAAATGAGTTTATGTCATCAGTTGATATGGCAGGCTCACTGATAAATTGATATTACAGGGATTTCAACAGCCTCGTTTAAAGTCAGCATTTCGTAAATTTTCTAGTCGTTATAATGACCTTGTTAGCAAATATAACCTATCACTGGTTCGTATTTTGGCTGACTTGTTTCATACTAATTGTTAAGCCTTATTTTTTTTGTACGAAATTGACTACGGATAGTTCCGTCTACCTGATCAATACATGGGGCTCACGGCGGGTGTAACAGGTCAACAGGGGATGCTTACTCCTCCTAGGCACCTGATCCTAACTATGGAATTTCAAGGGGTCCGTGTTTTATGCCCTCTCCACATATTTAGACTGTATGTGGATTTTTTTTTTAGATCGATCACTGTTCGTTATCTTTACCTTTTACATATGCAAGAGCATGTTCCAATTACCTAAAATTTTTAAAAAACGATATAGGCAAGTTACAAATAAGTTGATGATACAAGGAAATCTAATTTAAAGTCAATCTTTTGCAAATTATGAGGTCTGTACAATGACCTTGTTTGCTAATTAATCTATCGTTACGTTGATTGTTGACTGACGTCTTTCATACATAAGCCATAATTTCATATTGAAATGTCTACGGATTTCTGTTCACTCGATCATGTCAAGGAAATACATGGCGGTGTGTGACCAGTCGACAGTGGATGCTTCCTCCTCCACGGCACATGATCCGTACTATGTTTGCAGAGGAATGTTTTGGCCTCGCTCATAATTTGAATTGTTTAAATAGACTTTATTCGTTATCTTCACATTTCTTATTATACAAACAAGTTCTCTGAAGCCGATATAAAACAGATGCTGGAGTTCCTCATTGTCAATATCTGTATAGAATTGGAGGCCAGGTCTCCTAGCAATCTTTTGGAAATTCCAAAGGGCACAAAAGGCGCTCCTTTATTAAAAGACCTGTTTTATTTTTCTATGAAGCAGAATTCAAAAACTTCTACATGAGAGGAAAATCCTTGCTGTGACTGTCAACTCTTTATTTAGATACATCGATGACAATTTATCAATAAGGCTCGGGAATAGAAACACACAACTTGTTCGATAAAAATAATCGATCAAATCACAAATAATGGAGAACGTGTTATCAATTAACAATAAAGTAGTTTCTTTTTTCATATGCCGACTCGATATAACCCAGTGAACTCAAAATAAAAGTTACCTCAGAGTATGTTTCATATTTGGATGTATAAATGGCTTAAGACGAAAATGGCCAACCAGGTTTCTCCATCATTTCAAATGTATCTTTGGCGCAAGATTTACGCGAAATGCTTATATCCGCGAAGGAACCACGAAATAAATTGAAAACACACAGCCTCGGTGATTCAATTATTATAGTTTAATACACAAATGGCATTAATTATTGGGCAAATTGATTGATAAATTTACTACTAAAACAATTAATCGATATCGATTAAGCTTTGTGTAAAACAAAAATTATCATGTTTCCAAAATATATGTTTACTGTGAAAAAGACACCCCCAACACATACGTGCTAATGAATGAAAAAATATTACCTTATAGAATATGAAAATAATAGTACCAGTAATAACGTGTTTTAAGTATTTAACACTAATTTTTAAAAAAAATAATTGTCCTTCAAAAGGTAAATTATACACCTACAGTGTTCATTAAAGGACAGTAAAAATTTCTGGCATCTGTAGGTCACCCTTACATCTATATATATTTACAATTATTGGTCTGAAGACTGAGGTATCTTTAAAACTTGTGAATAAAAAAATCTTTAATCAGTTTAGAGTCATAAAATTATATTTTGGTTTTTGTTTCTTTGTTTGTTTATTGTTTAACGTCTCTCTCGATAATTTTTCACTCATATGGAGACGCCACCACTTGCCGGTGGAGAGCTACAAATTTTGACCTATACTCGGCTCTTAGGACCTTTGAGCAGTGAGGGATCTTTTTCGTGCAAGCACCTACTGCGACACGGGACCTCGGTTTATACGGTCTCATCCGAAGGACCGGTGTCCACGTCCCACGGTGGGATTCGAAGCCGGTACGTAAGGATCAACTCCTTACACCATGACTCTAGAGCGAACGCTCTAACCTCTGTGCCACGCGGGCGACCTATATTTTGGTAGATCTACTAGTACTCGTATTGTTGATTTTTTATCATTGCAAAATTGCATGATAACAATACACGTACGATGTTTGACTCGCATAGCCAATGCAATTTTAGTGACGTGGTTATCTGTAGAACTATTAAAGCTTGAATTGATTGATATCAAAAATTTCATTTGTAATTATCATGAAGTATTAATTAATGGCTTGTCTCTTTTCATTCATCATGTTCATGTGTCCACCGAAAAATTGATTGTGCTAACCAAACAATGGGCCCTAATTAGAGTAAATGAACGGTTTAGCATTAGAAACTGAAAAACAGTACATAATTTGGAGGTTCATTTGAATTATAAATTAATATATTTATATTACTGACGACGACGATTTTATAGCGCGCTAATATTTTAACTGTGGCGGAACTATGGCGCTGTTTTTTTTTTTATCTGTAGCGATAAGGGATCTAACTGTGGCGGGTGCCGCCAAGTTAAAATGCCCATGAAGAATCCTGGTCAACTAACAAATAAACAGTAAAACAGACGGGATAACATCATCTCTTCCATCGTTAGGGTTTCTTTATTTATGTAATAATATTCCACCACTACCTGCATATGGTGATTATGTCATCCAACTGATTCGGTCAACAGGGGGTGCGAACTCCTCCTGGGCACCTGATCTAACCTCTTTAATTTCCAGGGGGTCCGTTTTTATGACCCGTTTTAAAAAAATTAATTATTAATTCTGATATTTTTAAGATTGATCTCTGTTCATTGACTTAAACCATTTAAAACAGAAATATGATATTGACAAATAAGTTTAGGTTATAGGGATTTCAGCAACTCTGTTTCAGGTCCCTATTTCGCAAACTCTTTGGTCGTTATAATGATCTTGTTAGCAAATACAACGAATCGTTCTGTTGTGTTTTGTTTGAGATCTCTAACATATAACTACTAGTATCACAAGGATAATTGACTCCTTTCTTTATACTATTGTCAAGTAAAAATACCATTTCAGTTCAATTTTTCCCTGACAAGGTAGGCTGAATTGTGTGGACTTAATTATGAGTTAGATTTCTTTTGGAAAATCAAAAGTGTTACTAAAGCGCAATTTAATATGAGGGACAATAAACATCAAGGGTTATCTCTCATTGACTCATGGAAAATTCAGTTTTATTGAATCCCTTCATGTCCAAAGACGGGAACAAATCATTCTAGAATTTGTATCAAAGATTTCTGTTATCTCTAATTCAATTTCGATGATTTGAATTATAATGATAGCAATGAAAAAGGTATATTGGAATGGATTTCTGTTCAAAGTAAAGATTCACATATCAAGCATCAAATATCACAAAATGTCTGATGAACAAATTATAAATAAAAAAAAATTGTACTTATTTGTTCGAACGAATTCTGCTGAACAGATGCAAACAATTTGCAAAATGTAACAAAAATAGACAAAGACAACATAAAAAATTCCTCTATCCTGCACAGTGTTTTAACTTCTCCAGTCTTCATAGTTTTTATCACGATTTAACTAAGACAATGAATCCATAACTATTCTCCAAATACAACACTTGGTAAAGATGATGTAGCAAATTCTGAAAAAGAAATGGACATACATTTGAACAATTCAACTGGATGTAAAGCTGAAGATGGATGTATGTAAATCAAGAAGAAAGAGCTAGTGAAATGATATTTGAAAACTGGAAATTTTCTTTTATATGAATATAAATAATTCAAAATTAAAGAAATTTAGTTGTGAATAGAAAACATAAATATCTCTCACATTAGCAGTATCATAAGAAAGAACCCTGGTCTTTATGCTTAACTGCAAAAGTGATTTGCTTTAAATTATAGATCTTAGAGATGTTGCTTCCTCTTTTATTTTATTTTTGTCTTCCTGTCATATTGAGTGAAATATATATATATATATATATATATATATATATATATATATATATATATAACTCTGATTTAGGCACTAAGTGGACCACACTATTATATATGGCTTAGGGAGACAATATACAATTTTTTTAAATTTGCTAATTTCTAAAAACAATTACCTAGGCAATGATCTCTAAAACACTGCTTATTTGTCTATGCCTTTGATTTTCCAAAAAAAAAACCTCCTAAAATTATACAAAAAAATTGGTCTCCCTAATATTTTATGTTTCTCTCATATGGCTTTTGGAGACCAGTGTATATTTTCTTAAATATAATTTGTGGCTTAGGTAGACCATTTTTTCTCCCCACAAATTTTCACTAAATTTACATAATATCTCCATCCGAAATAATTGTGTAAGGGACAATGAAAGATTATTGGTCAAGATCAAGGCACATGGTTTAATAACACTTTTTTTTTTTATATCCACTGAATATTATTTCCTTTAGTTCTCAAGAAAACCAGTCGCCCACATGGCGCAGTGGTTAGAGCATCTGCTCTAGAGTCGCGAAGTAAGGAGTTGATCCTTACGTCGCGGGTTCGATTCCCACTGTGGGACTTGGAGACCGGTCCTTCGGATGAAACCTTATAAACCAAAGTCCCGTGTCACAGTAGGTGCTGGCATGAAAAAGATCCCTCACTGCTCAATGGCCGTAAGTGCCGAGTACAGGACAAAATTTGCAGCTCTCCACCGGCATATGGTGGCGTCTCCATACGAGTGAAAAATTCTCGAGAGGGTCGTTAAACAACATACAATCAATCAATCAATCAAGAAGACCATTGTCGTTCTTCAGTCATTAAACACTGCATATCACCTCTAAAGATTTCTTAGCAATTGTTCTTCCATCAATGAAATATATAATGACGTATATATCAATTACACAATATTTAATCTACGTAATCCTACTTTAAATGATCCCTTTACAGATATAAATGTTTTAAGGATAAAATATCCTTCTATGTTTTTTTTTTCCAGGAATTAGCGTTGCAGCTATTTCAAACAAAAAAAAAAAATCTGCAACAGCTGCAAATATTAATTCCCATACTAACAACATTTATGATGATTATCTCACAATAGAATGGGCTTTTTGAGAATTATTAAAATTAAGAAAAATATTGTCTCAGAGCAGGGGATTGTCCTTGCCTTGTATGCCCTCTTTCTTTAGAGGTTGTGATAAGAATTCAGTAAAAGTAATATCTTCCATCCAGTATTGCAACATCTAGATGCATAGACCATACATCAGAACAATTCAAATGTTTAATAAAATTTTATTTAATTTGCAAAAAAGCTAAGTTACAGTCACTCAGGCATTATATTTTGATAATACACAATGAAAATGTCCAAAAAAAACCAAAAAAAAAAAAAACCCAGATACAGTGTATGTAAATCATTTGCAAATTTTCATCTACATATTTTTGCATTTGGTTTAAGAACACCAAAATATATAATAATATATTCAATAGCTGGGTTATTGAAGATAAAGTTTACCCCTACACATTTTATTTACAACGTAAGGCAAAGTCTAACATCAAACAAATGTTCTACATGTTGTATTGTGCATTCTTGGATGCAAGACCTAAGCAAGACTGGACAGGGAAAAAATTGAAGTTACTTAAAAATGTACTTGTTCCAAAAAATTGAACAGTTTAATAACTCTGAAAATGTAAGTTAGATCCAGCATCAGAAGCAAACCTCTTGTGTACATAACAAGATGTATCATTGGTCTCTGTACGGCATAGTTACTTGGGATAAACCTTTTTCAAAAAAAAAGAACTGAACACCCATCCAGAAAATGTAGATTAGATCATTCATCTGAAGCCTAGTAGTGTACATCATAGTTTGATCATCATAGAGCTTAGAGTTATTTTGGAATTAAACATGCTTTAAACTCCTTAACCTGGTCATAAATTAAAAAATATAGGTCAACCCAGCATCTGAAACAAATCTAGTAGAATCTATTTACCTATGCAAGTTTGGTGAAGATAGGGCATATACATGTAGTTACTTGGAAATAGACTTGCTCCTAAAACTTCGGTGACCATAGGGATAAAGCATATTCAAAGCATACATGTATCTTGAGCCAAACATTCAGTGATTTCTGACTTCCATGATAACCCCCCCCCCCTCCCCATTTTTCAGCAATTTTTGTGTTGTATGAAAAGCTCAATTACTAATTCCTACTTTTTAAAGTACAATACATCATATCGTATTCATAAAATACTGATGGTTTCAATAAATCTTCTAAATAACAATATACTTATTTATATGCATTGTTAATATAATTGTCTAGTTGAATAAATGTATCTAAAAGTCAATGAAAACAAGAAAACTGTAGTCAATGCTCACTAGTAATACCCCGCTTTGATGTGAATAATATGCTTTCAAGTAAATATACACAAGTTCAGTTGCCTAAACAGAATGCACTAAAATTTCAAGCATCTGCAATGAGTAGTTCCTCAGAAAACTGTCACAGAAATTTGGTATAGACAGACAGACAGACAGATGCACAGATAAAAAGGAAACTGACATCAGATTCATACAAAAAAAATCCAACTACATGGCATGCCAAAACAATTTCAAATAACTGCTATGAGTAGTTGCTGAGAAAACTTTAACTAAAATTAGTTACAGACAGATGCATAGATAAACAGGAAGTTGACATCAGATTTGTACAAAAATGAACCCACCATATGGCATGTCAAAACAGAGTGTGCTAAAATTTTAAGCATCTGTGAACAGCAGTTAATGAGAAAACTGCAATAAAAATTTGTTACAGATGGACAAACATAAACCACATAGACAGACACACAAGGGTAAAACAGTTTATTTCCCTCTTCTTCAAAGTGAGTGTATAATGAACAGTAATTTACATTGTCTAAGTTAGACTAAGGTATGTTTTCATACAAAAGGCATGACACTTTTAACATGTTAAATGCATGCAAACTATAAAATATCAAAAATTATTAACACTTAATTGCATAAATGATGACCGTTTCAGGCCTTCCACTGGTCTATCAATCAATCTCTGGATTTTAAGTCTTGTAGCCTTCTAGTGGCCCTTTCTCTGGTCATTTTTCTCTCGTTAAATATTTTTGTTTTCATTTTAAAGGATTGTGTTTTTTTGTCCAGGTCTTTCAGTGTTTTGATGCAATTTGTCTCTAAAAATTCCTCAATTTCCTTTTTACCTAACAAAATTAAAAAAAATAAAGAAAGATTAATCACGGTCTTCTTTTAAAAATAATTTCAATGTCTAAAAAATATTTATTTCAAGAATTGTTTGATTTGCAACATTTTTGTTGTTAAATCAAAATATATAAGAATCATTTATCAATTTGCATTGAAAAAACTCAAAACTTACTAGGTAGGTTTCCAGTATTTTTGTCACTTCTGGTGAAAATGTATCCCTGGAAATGATCTCTTATCAATTTTGTCTCTTCTTTGGACCATTTTACTATTAAAAAAACATGAATTAAAGGCATTAATTCTTTAAATGAAATATAATGGTTTTAGTTGGAGATTTCTTTTTATTTAATTCAAATGAAGAAAAATTAGTAATCATGGTAAAAATAGTACTAATGTAACAGAATCCTTGCATGGTTACAGATGTTCCCAAATAGCTTTCCCACTTCCTTTTAGTCCCCCATTCCCTAAAAGCTCATTAAATTAGCCAATACATGTAAATTTCTGTAACAACTTTTACAATTTCAGCCAATGAAAATGCAGCACAGATCCAAAATGACATTCGTTCTGCACATCTACACAACATACTTATAAACATTTAAAATATTTCAACTTGATCATTCTGAAAACACCCAAAGACACGAAAATATGAAATAATAATGAGAAACAAGAGTATAAACAATATCTACATGTACCCTCTTAATTTGGGAAACATAATTAGATCTTTGGACACTAGATACACTACTTCTTTTGATGCTTTTATCTTCATATCATTTACAAAGATAACTGGTGAAAACAGCAGGCACATGTATGATATACAGATATATAAAATACTTGGTTTCTACATATAACTAGATGGAGATCATCTCAAAGGGTTCCACATTTAGTAAAGGACATTAGGAAGAGAGGAACGTATATTGAACTGAATCTGGAATTAGCCTATACCAATAATAAGTATATTCGAAACAAGTGATATCTGATAGACAGATGGATGGACAGACTGATCACTATAGTACATGGCACTTGCAAATCAAGACCATAAAATAAAATGTTACAGATGGACAGCTAGACACACACACACACACACAGATAGACAGACAGATACACATGGGTAAAACAGTATACTACCCTCTCCTTCAGAAAGGGGGGGGGGTCCTATTATATACTAAAATATACCAATATAAACCTGAATGTTGGGATATTGAGATTATAATACTACACTGCTCAGGGCTTTTCTTAAATCCAGAAATATGAAAGATGGAAGAACAGATGTGTAACCTAATACAACCATCCTTGAATGTTTTCTTTTGGTGAAACAGAAAAACACCAGCTAAGGCAAACACAAGAAAAGCTTCAATCCTCTGTAATGACTCAAATCCCAACTTGGTAATAAAATCATTATTCTTGATTTATCTATTAATCATTAAATAGGAACCTCCCAGCTTTTAAAGCTAAAATATACCAATTTATTACATTGTAAATGAGAAGGAAAAAGAACTTAAAAGTAATAAGCAATTTTTTTTTACCTGAGTTGCTTCTTTCTTTCTTTTTCCTACATGTAGTAGTGTCTGTGTCATTTGTCTCAAAGGGATGATCTGTGGTTATAGTTATTCTAAGACATTACTATCCAGTTTTCTATTGTGAAAAGTGTGGAAAACTAACAGAGTTGAAACATTGCTGATTATTTTTTTCATTGACCAATAAGTTATTGTAAATCATGAAGACAAAATGTCTGTTTGTCTATCTGTTTTCACAGCATTACATTTGTTAGATAATAAAAATTCATTTAAAATCCTAGTGAAAATTGCATATAAATTTGTAAAATATATTTTGCTGTTACTGTGATTTTTGGAGAAAAATTGCCATCTATAGTGACATGAAAATTTTGATGACATTGATCGATAGTTTGCATATCTTCATTCATATCAGACCAAAAATATAATTAAGTAAAACATATCCCCGTAATTGTCCTTTTTCAGCAAAAGTAACTCACCTTGTGAAATTGCATCATGTTCCTCATGTTCACCCACTGCCTTTAGACAAGCTCCTTCAACCAAACTTGAAACTGATCCTATAAGAAAAAAAATCACAAAAGTTAACATAATAGCATTTAATACTGAAAAAATTTCATTTATTACATGTAATATTAAAGGTGAGAATAATATTAACAGAGTTTAATCTTGTGAACAATGTGAATCATGAACAGAGCAAAACACAGAGATAAGATTATATGCCTGGGAAGAGAACACATCCCGTTGACCTGTATTGACCAGCAAGACAGAATAATCTGTAGTTAAAAGTAACTCACCTTGTGAAATTGCAACACGTTCCTCATGTTCATCCACTGCCTTAGGACAAGCACCTTCCATTAAACTTGAAACTGACCCTATAAGAAAAAGTTTCATAAAGGTAAACAGCAAGGTACTTAATAAAGAGGAATTGATACGGTATACCAGGATACATTAAAACTTGCTTGAAACAAACACAGATAGAGCAAATTTACATTTTTTGCAGTTTTTTTCACCAGAAAATTTTTATTACAATATTCTTTGAACAATTTTAGGGTCAAAATGAGTTTATTTAACATGTTTAATGAATTTACAGCTATAGAGAATTGATTTTGCATCTACTAAGGTTAAAAGATAAATGGTTTGGGTTACTTTCAGTAGTTAAGTCTATAAATTTTGGGGGTACACATGTCCAAATCATTTTTTGTACATTCTTTCATACTGCAGTTTTACGTTTGTAATCTTATTCCAGAATGGGGTGAATTTTAGTATGGGGTTCTACCCACAATAGACAAGTCCAAAACATGTCTGAAAATCCTTACGGGGTGAAGTCTATATTTATTTTTTTAACCTCGCACTGTCAAATTAAGCATTAATAAACCCTGTTATTGAGAGGTTTAGCCCACAATACAAACAAGAGGCCCATGGGCCTTGAATCACTCTTCTGATAAACTGTACAACCTATCACTTCTATTTGAAGCCTCGAAGTATCCTGTATATTTAGATAAACCCTTGAAATTCCAATTCACACTCTGAGAACCCAAGATGATTCTAAGCCAATTAGTACCTGAGAGTTGGTCATGATGACCTACTTATCACTTGTCATTCTCTGAGGACCCATCAACTAAGTTTGATGATTCTAAGCCAATTAATACCTAAAACATTTTTTTAAAATTATAACCATAAAATTTTATAAGTAGGTCAAAGTGACCTACTTTTCAATTGATTGATGATTCTAAGCCAATTAGTACCCGAAATATTTAATTAACGCCAAAAATTTTCAAAAGTAGGTCACTGTGACCTACTTTTTAGTCGACCTACTCCGAAGACCCAAGATGCATCAACTGACAAAGTTTGATGATTCTAAGCCAATTAGTACCTGTAATATTTAATTATAGTCATATAAATTGAAAAGTAGGTCATGGTGACCTACTTTTCAGTTGACCTTTTTTGAGGACCCAAGATGCATCAACTTACAAAGTTTTATGATCATAGGACTTAAAATGTCCAATTATGCCTCTAAAACGCTTTGAAATCGAATGCCTGCAAAGTTCAAAAAGTAGGTCACTGTGACCTACTTTTTAATAAATATGTTTTATGGCCCCAAGATGCATCATCTTACAAGATTTAATGATTCTAAGCCTCCCCGTATTCGAAATTAATGACCTTAATTGTTTTAAAAAAGATTAGCCATAAAATTCAAAAAGTAGGTCAAGGTGACCTACGTTTTAGTTGACGTACTTTGAGGACCCAAGATGCATCAACTGACAAAGTTTGATGATCATGGGCCTTAAATTGTTCAAAATATGCCTCTAAATCATTTTGAAAAAGAATGGCCACAAAATTTAAAAAGTAGGTCACCGTGACCTACTTTTGAGTCAACATGATATGAGGTCCTTAGATGCACCAACTGACAAGATTTGATGATCCTAGTCCTTATAGTAAGCAAAATATCAACATTTTAATAAAATGTAATTTTTGGTCAACTTTGAAGTGACCTTGAGACCACGCCCTTTGCCCCAGGGTAAATCCCCAAGCAAATTTTAATCTACAACATATCCTCATCCTTTTGTGTAAGTTTGGTGATAATCTGCGCAGTGGTTCTTGAGAAGAAGATTTTTTAGCAACCAGTACTTTTGTTTCTATTTTCCTAATTATCTCCCCTTGTTAAAGGGTCGCAACCCCAGCTTTAGTATAAAAGGGAGCCCTTGGGCCAAGGATACCCTGTGACAAATTTGACAATAATTGGCCAAGGGGTTCTTGAGTTATGGCCCATATTCTAAAAAGTTTACGCACACCGCACAAATGGCCATAGCATTAGCTCTTTGAGCCTTTGGCTCAGAAGAGCTAAAAACAACCTCGAAATACTGGAAAATACACACATTTTTCCTCACATTGTACCTCTGGTAAAAAGGGACAGACAGACAGACATGCACCAGAGAAAAATGTGATCAGAAAAGCTCACTAGAGCTTTTAGCAAAGGTGAGCTAAAAAGAGTTGATTTTATAGGTGTAAAATTGCCAATTTATACACATTAAATAAAAATACCAGTACTTCTCTTGTATATTTAACTTGAGCATTATATGAAAAAAGGTTACTTTACCTTCGTCTACAGATCTAAGCATCCTCCCCATAACACAAGCTGTGCGAACTCCTAAGGGACACTGGTAGTTCTCTTTATTAATACGCTCCTCGTGCCCCATGTGCTGCAGAAATATTTTCTGGTTCTCAGCTGACATGTCTAAACTTGCATATATACATGACAGTCTGTGTCGCATTTTTGTTGCAGTAATGATGTGTATGCCAGTTTCTGCACAAACTTTTGCTACAGCGTGCCAACCTGAACAATGAGAAAGTCCTATTTTTGTGGCAAACAAAAAAGGATTTTCTTCACGGATGCCAAATAAGAATCTGTCTCGTTTGATGACCTGGATTGCTGAAAGCAGATCATTTGGAATTAATATGGGAACATATTTTTTCCCTTTTCCCTTTAAGTATGCTAACTTGAATTGTCCCAACAGATATTGTTCAGCAGGATCTGTAATTTTTTCCAACTCTTCATCTGGCAGCCATACTCCTTTTTCTGCTTCCTCCCATTCAGAAATCAGCAACCTGGAAGCTTCCTCACCTCTGCGAGCATTGAATAATGTGAGGCGTGCCACCACAAGACTTCTTAGCCAAGCGAAGTTTTTCACAGTGTAATCCTTTAATATGATAGGAATTTCTGCTGCAATGTATTCTTTTATTTGAATAACCTTCTGTTCATTTGGTAGATTTGCTGGTTTTCTGTTTTTCTCCAACGAGTTTTTGATACACTTTTGCCTTGCACTCGGAAACAGTTCATGAGATAAGCTTTTGTATGCTGATTTGAAGTTTTTCAGTTCTTTCTTTTTCTCATCTTGCATAGTTTGAGCAAAATAACCTTCTAGAGTTTTTACAGATCGGAGAAGTACTGCATCCAAAAAAAGCTTCTGCCCATGCTTTTCTTGTTTATCAGTTGTTACTTGCTGTAACGCCTCTATAAGATCAGGCAAATGTTCCCTTCTAAACAGATCTTCTACAGTGCAATGCTCAGAACTTAAATTTTTGAAACAAAAAAACAGTTTCGAAAGCTCTCGCATCTCTGCCATTATGATTTTTCTAACCTCATCCTGCTTTCCCTCCTCGTGTCGGCGTAAATTAAAATGTTTGTATCCAATCAATTTTATAGTCTTATTAGTCCTGCAAAAATCACCAATTTCTCCTTGTCTAAATCTGTTTAAGATGTCTACAAATCCAGGATCTCTATCCATTTTGTCATCCATCGTTTTTGCAAGCAGCTTTGGTTTTAATGCTTGAGGTGCAGAATCGTTATTTGAACATTTATGTTTGAAGAAGTATTTGTTAGAGTAAAATCCTTTGCAGTCGCTGCAAACTCTTAGTTGGTCTTGCTGCACTGGTTTTCGTTCACGCATTTCTGCATCAAATCCATCTCCAATCAATTGAACATTGTATTCATATATTCCTTCACGTCTTTTTTTATCAAAAAAGTTGTTTTGGATATGTTGTGGTTTTGAAATGATTGACTGTACCTCCGTTTCAGTTCTGTGTTTTCGCAGAATATGCCTCTTTAATTTTCCACCAGTAATAATTGTCTTGCAATATGTGCAAAACCTATTTGGTTTCTGTAAAAAAAAAAAAAATCTTCAATTAGTAATTGACTACTTTAAGATTGTATTAATCACTTACATAGTTTTGTTGCAAAGCCCAGGGTGATGCACTCTTCATGCGAAATATGAGAGTCAGTAAAGCATTTGATGCCACGTACAGTGCTATTGACAAAAACTCAATAACTTCTCTGTATCATGATAAATACAACAAATTGAGCTCACATTTTTGTGTGATCTGTTTACCATGTTTATCAGAAAAATTCCTGTCTGTGAGATACTTCTGCTCATTATTCATGTTATGTAGATTGTCCATCCAACAAAATTGCTTGTAAGGCAATGCCATTTGCCCATATGTTAAAGTATCCATAAAATCATTTTATTTCATGAAACTAAACTCAAGATTATAAATTCAAACATACCTTTTGTTTGCTTTTTTGTTTGGTTTCTCCATTGCAATCTTTCTCTTCAGTATTCAATCTACCAATAAAAGAGTTATGGTTCAAGCAGGTGATTTCAAACTGAATTTAAACTGTGACCTTGATTTCCTATATCAAATGAAATTTCTGATTTTTAAGATTCTTATAAACATTTTTAATTTATCCATTCTGCACGGAACACTTGTAATATTTTACAACTAGCCTTACCTATACATCAGTGAATAAAATAGTGTATGTCAATACTAATAGCCCCTTTACAAACAAATAAAAAAAAACCTCACAATTTTGCATTTCGATCAAACCTTAATCTTTGTTAATATCATTTTAAAAAATATCTATTTCTCTGGACATGGCCATTGGTCAGTGAGGAATCTTTATTGTGTCGGCATGCATCTACAGTTGACACATGATGATAGTTTATTTGTTCTCCAATGAAGGACCAGTCATATCTCATCCCATTGTGGGATTAAAACCTGTGATGTAAAGATCAACTCGCTACTCCTCAAATTCTAGAACAATACGCTCTAACTGCTTGAAATAGTGCACTAAATCCTCTGTCTTTATAACAATATTAAAGATTTTGTTATATAAAGCTGCACAGTCAAAATCTATACCGAATTCTTAAATTAAAGTGCCTAACTTTAACTTGTATTAAATTTAATTTTAAAAGGCACTGCCATAATTCAAGTAGAATACATATTAGCCAACCTAGTATTACTTTGATGATCCTCCTCACAGGAACTGAGAAAGGAGAAACTCTGGTATGGTACTGAAACAGAACATATAATTTATTTGCCTCATAATGATCAATTCATGCAATAAGTCAAAAATAAATATTTACATCCACTTAACCACTTCTTTCATCATGTACACCAGTTAAACAGTTTTTTTAGGCCACCTGCAGGGAAGGGCATGGTGCAATCTTAATCACCTGGGGTAATTTTGACTGTTCACAAATTTCTTTAAATATTTGTTTATATCCTTTATTGTGTATGTACATTTAGTTTATACAGAAACAAAAAGCATTTTTATGCCTCTGTGATCGAAGATTCGGGGGTATATAGTTTTTGCCCTGTCCGTCCATCTGCCTGTCTGTCTATTTGTCTGTTTATCTGTTTGTACGCAAAAACTTTCTTTAACCTTGCCCATAACTTATGAGTGGGTGGGGCTATGGCATTCATATTTCACAGGTGCATTCCTTGTGACAAGACCTTTCTTTGGGTACCACCAAATTTGACCTCTTGACCTTGGAGTTTAACCCACTTTTATAAAAAATTACCACACTTTTACCTTGGCCATAACTTTTGAACAGTTGGTGCTAGGGTTTTCCTGCTTCACATGTGTATTCATTGTGACAAGACCTTTCAATGGGTATAAATAATTTTGACCTTTTACCCTTAGAGTTTGACCCACTCTTAAAAAAATCTTAACCTTGACCATAATTTTTGAGCAGTTAGCACTAGGGCTTTCATATTTCACAGGTGTATTCTGTGTGACAAGACCTGCCTTTGGATACCAACAATTTTGACTTTTTGTCCTTGGCTTTTGGAGTTTGACTTGCATCTGAGAAACTTCAACGCTCACCATTAGCTACCATACGGGGGCATCAGTGTTTCACAAACACATCTTGTTAATATTGTTTCAATAATAATTAAACTTTCAAAAGTGTAATTCATTTGTTTACTGGAATATGACAACATCTAAAAAGAGGTTTTAACACCTGTAATTATTAGTCACTATGAGATATTATTACTTTTGAAATTTTCTGTGTAGAAACTTAATCAATGGATATCCCTGGCATGACATTTATCAAATATGTTTTTGCAACTGAAATTTATACCTTTTTGATTTAAATAGCAGAACACCAAATTTGTCTTTATATAGATATTTAAAAAAAATTATTACCTTCTTCAGACAGGGTGCTAAGATTGGAGTTTTCCACAAAATCAACAGTTTCTACTCTTGCATATGCCACAGAACCTTCAATGAAATAAAAAAATATAACCGATAATGATTCCACTTAAAGTACAATACCAACCAGACACAAAGATCCCCACAAATGCATATCATTCACTAGGGAGACCAAATGCATTATAACTGCATAAAGAAGACCAATTAAATCAATTAATATTCAAAATTTGACATTTTTAATACCCTAAGGACATCTTTAAAATTATGTTTCTTGGGCTTTCTGACTCAGGTTTAAATACATGTACTGGGTTGGTAGTAGGGGGAAATTTTTTTTAATTCAGAAACACTTGTGAATATGATGTTAAAATAATTATTTCTGGAAGATAAAACAAATCTGAAAAAAAAAAATGTTTTTGAATTGCATTTTGAGTCAATTGGTTGGGAGAGGTCAAACAAACATTTTTTTTTTAAAAGAGGGCCTAGTAATTACATTATATGCCCATGTACATCTATTTAGATGAAAAAGATTAATTTACCTTTAAAATATAATGTGACTGTATATTCTTTTTTAACAAAAATTAAATACCTATTCTATCTGCATTTGACATATTTTAGCATATGATAAGGAAAACCAAATGCCTTATTATAATCATTACAAATGCATTATTATCAATAATTAAGAGGCTAACCAAATGCATTATTATAAATACCAAAGAGACTAATTTATTATAAATACAAAAAGAATTAATCAAACACATCATTCCAAATATTAAAGACACCAATGAAAAGCATTATTACCAATAGTGAAGAGACCAATTAAATGCATTTAATTATTATACAATCAAATGCATCATGACAAATATTAAAGAAACCTACCAAATGCTTTCATATAAAATACTAAAGAGACCAATCAAATGCATTATTACAACTATTACAAGACCAATCAAATGCATTTATTTATTCGGAATAGTAAAGAGCCCAACCAAATGCATTTATTATAAATACAAAAGAGACCAATCAAATTAGAGTGAAAATTTACTTGTAATTGATCATTACATATTTTTAAGAAACACACTAAGGGGTAGCCTAATAAAACATCAGTACTAATGATATGAACCTTTTTTGATTGAAGAAGTACATGTATACCCCTAATATACAATATACATGTATTACGTACTAATTATAAATTGCATCCTTCAGGAGATATACTGAAAAAGATTACACATTAATACAATTGCTTATATTGTTCATAAGGGAGACCAAATGCATTAAAACTGCATAAAGGAGACCAACTAGTATCAATATGTGAATCAGTATTCAAAACTTGATATTTTAATTTTCAAGTAAATTATATGTATATGTGCATGAAGAAATTTATTCAGATGACCTTTTGAAGGTCATAAGCAATCTTTGTGTGAAGTAGTAGATTCAAGTTTTTGTAAGGCATATATTGACCAAACACAAATTATGAACTTTTTCTTTCAGTGACCTTGAATTTAAACAAATGACCTTGGGTCAACGTCATGATACACCCTCAGGTCATAAGCAATCTTTGTGTAAAATGGGAACTCACAAAGTTTATACATAAGAAAGATAAGGACCGGAAAAGAATTATGAAATTTCTGTTTCAGTGACCTTGAACTTGCCCAAATGACCTTGGGTCAAGGTCAGGTCAAGGTCATGACACATCCTTAGGTCATGAGCAATCTTTGTGTGAAGTAGTAGATTCTAATGTTCCTCCATAAGAAGAATATGGACAGGACAGATGGACAGCTGAACAGATGGACGGACAAGGTGATTCCTATAACCCCCCCAACTTTGTTTGCCGGGGGTATAATATTTCCAGATTAACTAAGATTTTTATTATATTTTCATGTGAAATTCTGTAGCAACATATCAGTCAGGATATTTTACAGAAAATTTGAGGAAATATTAACTTCAAATCCGTGTCTAAGTCCCTTTAAACACTGGTTATTTACAAATACATGTTTACAAGTTTATTTATATTTCCTATTGTAAATCAATTTACCTTCCTCAGAATGTAGGCTTGTTATAACATCCTGGTTTTCATTTATTTCCATGTCATGTTGGGGTCCACAAGATTCTGGCACAGACTCTGTAAAAATATGGAACACAATGAAGAACTACATGTATATATGCCTAATATACAATATACATGTATTACATACTTATTATAAATTGTATCCTTCAGGAGATATACTGAAAAAAGATTACACATCACTACAATTGCTTATCTTGTTCATAAGGGAGACCAAATGCATTAAAACTGCATAAAGGAGACCAACTAGTATCAATATGTGAATCAGTATTCAAAACTTGATATTTTAATTTTCAAGTAAATTATATGTATATGTCCATGAAGAAATTTATTCAGATGACCTTTAGAAGGTCATAAGGTCATAAGCAATCTTTGTGTGAAGTAGTAAATTCAAGTTTCTGCAAAAGGCATATATGGACCAAACACAAATTATGAACTTTTTCTTTCAGTGACCTTGAATTTAAACAAATGACCTTGGGTCAACGTCATGATACACCCTCAGGTCATAAGCAATCTTTGTGTAAAATGGGAACTCACAAAGTTTATACATAAGAAAGATAAGGACCGGAAAAGAATTATGAAATTTCTGTTTCAGTGACCTTAAACTTGCCCAAATGACCTTGGGTTAAGGTCAGGTCAAGGTCATGACACATCCTTAGGTCATGAGCAATCTTTGTGTGAAGTAGTAGATTCTAATGTTCCTCCATAAGAAGAATATGGACAGGACACGTTTGCACAGACAGACAGACAGCTGAACAGATGGACGGACAAGGTGATTCCTATAACCCCCCCCAACTTTGTTTGCCGGGGGTATAATATTTCCAGATTAACTAAGATTTTTATTATATTTTCATGTGAAATTCTGTAGCAAAATATCAGTCAGGATATTTTACAGAAAATTTGAGGAAATATTAACTTCAAATCCGTGTCTAAGTCCCTTTAAACACTGGTTATTTACAAATACATGTTTACAAGTTTATTTATATTTCCTACTGTAAATCAATTTACCTTCCTCAGAATGTAGGCTTGTTATAACAGCCTGGTTTTCATTTATTTCCCTGTCATGTTGGGGTCCACAAGATTCTGGCATAGACTCTGTAAAAATATGGAACACAGTGAAGAACTACATGTATATATGCCTAATATACAATATACATGTATTACATACTTATTATAAATTGTATCCTTCAGGAGATATACTGAAAAAAGATTACACATCACTACAATTGCTTATCTTGTTCATAAGGGAGACCAAATGCATTAAAACTGCATAAAGGAGACCAACTAGTATCAATATGTGAATCAGTATTCAAAACTTGATATTTTAATTTTCAAGTAAATTATATGTATATGACCATGAAGAAATTTATTCAGATGACCTTTAGAAGGTCATAAGGTCATAAGCAATCTTTGTGTGAAGTAGTAAATTCAAGTTTTTTGCATAAGGCATATATGGACCAAACACAAATTATGAACTTTTTCTTTCAGTGACCTTGAATTTACACAAATGACCTTGGGTCAACGTCATGATACACCCTCAGGTCATAAGCAATCTTTGTGTAAAATGGGAACTCACAAAGTTTATACCAAGGATCGACATTAACGGTTGCCCGATTCCCCGGGCCGAGTAAATTCCCAGTTCTGGCAAGTGAAAATGCCAACGTACTTGTCCGATCAGGCAAGTGAATATTTCCGATAGAAACTTTTTTTTTAAATTTTGCTTTACTTTTCAACAAAACAATAACACTCTCTGCCAAGAACAATGACATATTGTTTTTGCATTCAAAATCCCTCAGTAGTGTTTCTACATTTTATTCAGAAATCGGGCTGGTTATTCTCTTTTCTTTCCCGGTAGTTGACAAAAATACGCTCTGCATCTGACAACTTAGTTACATTCTTATTATGAAATTAGAATAGTTTATTTTTTCACTCACAGAACACCAGTTATTCTTGGCACACGATGTATTCTGATCAGGATATGTATGTTTCAAAACATATGGCAAATGTTTTCCTTTAGTGAGGATTCAGTTTTCCAAAGGAAAAATCAAAATAATATATATGTATTTTTAAAATATGAATTTTATTTTAAAGAAAATATATACTGCTGCATGGCAGTGTGAGTTTACAGGATAAATGAAAGGACAGTGGTATACATGTACATATATTTACAATTGTAGGATCACCGACACATCAACATTTTAAAAAATATTTTATCACACATTATTTATAAATATAAATTAAATTATCAGTATTTTCTTCCTTTTAAGGTTTGGGCAACCAAGTTTTACATTCAGACAAGTCAAAATTTGAGTTCACTTGCCCAAAGGACAATTGAATATGAAAGTTAATGTTTATCCCTGGTTTATACATCAGAGAGACAAGGACCGGACACGAATTATAAAATTTTTCATTCAGTGACCTTGAACTTACCCAAATGACCTCGGGTCAACGTCAAGACACACCCTTAGGTCATGAGCAATCTTTGTGTGAAGTAGTAGATTCTAATGTCCCTTCATAAGAAAGATATGGACTGGACAAGTTTGCACAGACAGACAGACGGACGGACAAGGTGATTCCTGTATACCCCCAACCTTTGTTTGCGGGAGGTGGGTTGGGGGGTGTGTATAATATTTCCAGATAAAATAAGAAACACTGGTTATTTACAAGTACATATTTAGAAATGTATTTGGATTTTCTATTGTAAATCAATTTACCTTCCTCAGAATGTAGGCTTGTTATAACAGCCTGGTTTTCATTTATTTCCATGTCATGTTGGGGTCCACAAGATTCTGGCATAGACTCTGTAAAAATATGGAACACAATGAAGAACTACATGTATATATGCCTAATATACAATATACATGTATTACATACTTATTATAAATTGTATCCTTCAGGAGATATACTGAAAAAGATTACACATCACTACAATTGCTTATCTTGTTCATAAGGGAGACCAAATGCATTAAAACTGCATAAAGGAGACCAACTAGTATCAATATGTGAATCAGTATTCAAAACTTGACAGTTTCATTTTTAAGTAAATTATATGTATCTGAACATGAAGATATTTATTTAGATAACTTAGCAAATGCAATTTAATTTTAGATCAATATGTGTATAATAATTCTCAAGATTCATTATTCGTAGATTTTTACTATGCAAAATTTACACTTATTTTATATATATATACCCATTCCACCTGATATGCATTATTAAAAAAATTAAAAAGACTAAGCAAATATAATATAACAAATACTAAAGAGACCAATCAAAAGTTTTTTTTTCAAATATTAAAGAGACCAATGGGTAAATTCTATATCTTTAAACCCTGGTTATTTACAAGTACAAGTGTATTTATATTTCCTATTGTAAATCAATTTACCTTCCTCAGAATGTAGGCTTACTATAACAGCCGAGTTTTCATTTATTTCCATGTCATGTTGGGGTCCACAAGATTCTAACATAGACCCTGTAAAAATATGGAACACAATGAAGAATTATATACTAAATATAAAATATACATCAGAACACCTAAAATAATTTGTACGTTTTTTTGTTAAGATCGATACATTATAATACACTACATTTGCTCATATCATTCATTAGGGAGACCAAATGCATTAATACTGTATAAAGGAGACCAAATAATATCAATATGTGAATCAGTATTCAAAACTTGATATTTTATTACCTGAGCAATGTGCAGGTTTAAATTTATTTAGATGAACTGACTCAAAATACCTTTTGATTGTTATGCATATAATAAATGCCAAATGTTGCCAGCACGGTGCAGTAATTAGAGCGTCTGCTCTAGAGTTGCGGAGTAAGGAGTTGATCCTTATGTTGTGGGTTCGAATCCCACTGTGGGATGTGGAGACTGGTCCTTTGGATGACATAGTATAAATCGAGGTCCCATGTCGCTGTAGGTGCTGGCACGATAAAGATCTCTCACTGTTCAATGGCCATAAGAGCCAAGTATTGGACAAAATTTGCAGCTCTCCACCAGCAAGTGGTGGCATCTCCATATGAGTGAAAAATTCTCGAGAAGGACGTTAAACAACAACAAAAAAAAAAAAACAAGAGGCCCATGGGCCACATCGCTCACCTGAGTAGCTTTGGCCATGCTGTTCTTTACCAGATTTCCCCACTTTTAATATACCTATTGTGGCCCCGCCCTACCCCAGGGGGTCATGATTTGAACAATTTAGAATCTACGCTACCCCAGGATGCTTCCATATAAGTTTCAGTTTTTCTGGCCCAGTGGTTCTTGAGGAGAAGATTTTTAAAGATTTTTCTTACATATTTCAATGTAAAACTTGGATTCCCTTTTGTGGCCCTGCCCTACCCCCGGGGGTCATGATTTGAATAATTTAGAATCTACACTACCCCAGGATGCTTCCATATAAGTTTCAGCTTTTCTGGCCCAGTGGTTCTTGAGAAGAAGATTTTTAATGACCCCACCCTATTTTTGTCTTTTCTTGATTATCTCCCCTTGTAAGGGGACTTGGCCCTTTATTTTAACAATTTACACTCCCCTTCACCCAAGGATACTTTGTACCAAGTTTGGTTAAAATTGGCCTAGTGGTTCTTGAGAAGAAGTTGAAAATGTGAAAAGTTTACAGACAGACGGACGGACGACGGACAACGGGTGATCAGAAAAGCTCACTTGAGCTTTCAGCTCAGGTGAGCTAAAAACAAATGCCAAATTATACATATACCCATTCTATCTGCATAAGATATTCATAAGGAAGACCAACAAATTACGTACTATAAATATTAAGGAGACCAACTAAATACATTTCTAAATTTTAAAGAGACCAACTTAATGCATCAAATATTTTAAAATAATTTAACTGTCAAACCAAATGCATAATTACAAATATCAAAGAGACCAAGCAAATGCATTATTACAAATATTAAAAGCCCAACCAAATGCATCTATTATAAATACTAAACAGACCAATCAAATGCATTATTACAAATATTAAGGGACCAACCAAATGCATTATTAAATATACCAAAGACCAACCAAATACATTATTACAATATTAAAGAGATCAATCTTGCTAGATCAATATGTGGATTCAATTATCCTTATGTCTGCATGGATATTTAAAAGAACATGTACATGTTTATTTGGATTTCTTGTTGTCAATCAATTCACCTAAAATTCTCATAATGAAGATATATTTAGTAAGTCACAGGTGAGGTACAAATACATATTTTCACTTATGATTGAAAGAGTTGTTAATTAATTCATGCTTCACCTAAGGTCTCTTGATCAGAGTCTGATTCTCCCCCAGAACCTGGAGTGTACACACTAAAGGGATCTGAATCAATATCTGAAACTGAAAAAAAAAAAAGGTTTATATTTCATTAAAAGAGTAAACACCTTTATTTACAGACCCTAAAACGTGCTACTACACCTCAGAAACGAAACAGACCGTTCCGTGCAGGAAGCGTACCATACCATTTACAAAAGGAACGGTACAGTGCACAAAATGAAATGTACCGTTCATAAAACGAACTGTACCGTTCACAAAACGAACCGTACCGTAAACAAAATGAAATGTACCATGCACAAAACGAACCGTACTGTTAACAAAATGAAATGTACTGTTTTTTTTAATGAGTATGCAAGCCACGCCCCGAAATCATTCCGAACCTTGTAAAAAAAATTTATTTCTTTTAAATAAAATAAAACCTACTTTAATTTCCATTGATCATTTGCTCAAGAAAAAATATTTTCTTTAAAGGAAGCAACAGCGACAATAATTGTGGACGAAATAAAAGCATTGGGATTTATAAAATCAAACTCATTTGTTGTAAGTATAACTTTATTTTTCAAAAAAAGATCTGAAACTAGTTCATACAGAATGTAAGTTAAAAAAAAAACAGATAAGAACAATAAGAAAAATGGTTGCATGTAAAGAACTTGTATAAAATGCTAACGATACCGTTCTTCCATTAATTAAAAAAAAAAGGAGATTAATCATAAATTAATCATAAATAAATTAATAAAGAAAGAAACAACTTTATTAAGTAGCCAATCATAATACTACTGGGTATAGGCTCTGTCCACTTAATCTGCATACCTTTCACCAAAGCGTACCGTTCACAAACCGAAACAAACCGTGCACAAAACAAACCATACCGTTCACAAAGTGTACCGTACCGTTCACAAAATGAACCGTACTGTTCACAAAACAAAACGAACCCTGCACAATATGAAACATACCGTTCACAAAGCGAACCGTATCATTCACAAACAAACCGTACCGTTCACAAAACGAAACCATGCAAGTGGTGTAGGAGCACGTTTTAGCGTCTGCAGTTCAAAGGGAGATTTTTTTCTAAAATCTTTATGAACATTAAATAATCATAAAACTATGGATTAATGACTTTATAATAATTACCAGTTAATACACGTTTATCAAAATAAGTGTTTTTTCTTATGATTAAAGCATTAACTCTTGAAAACAAAAGAATAGATTTAACTCTGTATTAAACTAACAGTTTTGAAATATGATGCTTAGAACTAGCACTTGCAGAGGCAAATGAAATACATAGTAACTGTAGATCACTCAATTTTCGTGACACCTAATTTTCACGAGATTTATTAGCGGGACAAAATTTTCATGAATTGTGGTTATTGCTCTATACAATCTTAAGGCATACTAATATACGTGAGAATGAAATTTTCACAAGTACACTGTCTCGCATAATAATGTGAAAATAAAGTTCTCATGAATAAAAAGTGATTTACAGTACATTCTAAAACTGAACCACCTTTGTTGTACATGATCAAGATTAAGTTAATTTAACTCAAGAGAATATACATGTATTTCAATTCAAAGTCTTAAACTATTTTCCTAAATATATACTTGAAAATAATAATCTCTCAGGAAAAATATGTCAGGTAAAAACATCCCCATATAAGAGAAAGATATTAATATGACACATTAAACAATGAAACATGGAAATAACAAACAGTGATGAAGCTCAAAAGTCCATTGAAACAATACAAATCAAGAGTATAGAGCAAACATGGACTTCTTAAAACATCAGAGGTGGGATCAGGTTTCATGGAGGAGTAAGCATCCCCTGCCAACAAGTCACAATCGATGTGTGGTCTCTGACCTTGTCATGATGGGGAAAAGAAAATTCCACAGACAATTTAGTTTGTAAATAATGGCCTGACAATAAGTATGAAAAACAACAATCAGCATTTGATTTAATGATATATTGTATTTTCTTAAAAGTCCTTGTATCAACTATAGAACTTGTGAAATGTTGATCTTAAAAAGTTAAATAGGTTTATCATTTAGGTAAACAATATAACCAGAGCAGCTTAAAAGCTAATTTTAATCTTTAAAATGAAATAAAGCAACATTTAAAAAGTTAAATAAAAAGTTAAATAAAAAAATTAAAACTAAAATCTATAGGGCTGAGACGAAATAACAATACATTGTATTATTACATTCAGTAAAGAATAGTCCCTATACTCTCTATATACAGAAACAGTCAACATAATATTTAATTGATATATAAGCTGCTCCAAAAATATTGACAGTCATTTTATTTTCACTATCAATTTTTACCACATTTTTTATTGATTTGGATTTTGATTAGAAGATTGGTATATTGTGCCGTAATGATATTGTGGCAACTTCAAAACAAGAGGCCCATGGGCCACAACGCTCACCTGAGTAACTTTGGCCTTGCCATTTTTCACCCGATTTTCCCCCTTGTAGTACATATTGTGGCCCTCCCCTACCCCCAGGGGTCATGATTTGAATAATTTAGAATCTACACTACCCCAGGATGCTTCCACATAAGTTTCCACTTTTCTGGCCCAGTGGTTCTTGAGAAGAAGATTTTTAAAGACTTTTTCCTATATGTTATAATGTAAAAATTGGATTCCCTATTGTAGTCCCATCCTATCCCCAGGGGGTCATGATTTGAACAATTTAAAATTTACACTACCCCAGGATGCTTCCACATAAGTTTCAGCTTTTCTGGCCCAGTGGATCTTGAGAAGATTTTTTGATGACCCCACCCTATTTTTGTCTTTTCTTGATTATCTCCCCTTGGAAGGGGGTGTGGCCCTTCATTTTAAGAATTTTAACTCCCCTTCAGCCAAGGATGCTTTGTACCACGTTTGGTTAAAATTAGCCCAGTGGTTCTTGAGAAGAAGTTGAAAATGTGAAAAGTTCACAGACGGACAGACAGCTAGACAGACGACGGACAACAGGAGATCAGAAAAACTCACTTGAGCTTTCAGCTTAGGTAAGATAAAACATAACATCACAATAGAAAAACCAAGTAACGCAATCAGGGCAAGATTTGCTAGCACTAGGTCTACACTCAAAATGCAGATAATTTATTTTAACAAAAATACCATTTTAATGATGAATAATTTTTCATATAACAAAACAATTAATGACTATGTTTTGGGGCAACATTGATTATGTTAGCTTCCTCGAAATATTTCATCCCATGGCGGCTAACACAATCAATGTTGCCCTCAACTCCCGTCAATATTTGTATAATTATATTGATTTGGTGTAAGGACAATATCTGCATTGCCATAAGCACGCTGAAATACTTATCCAGAAAACAAAACCCCACCTTATTTTTGCTTTGGTTTCCTTTACATTAGAAATACAGTATTCAGGGTTCTTACTAGGATTTTGCTAACTTGAGTCGCAGGACTCAAGGTTTCTGAGAAGGTCGAGTCTCAGCTATATTTGATGCATCCCAGAAGAAATAATTTAATTTTGGTTGTAACACATCATTTGATTGGATAAAAAATTAATTTTATATTGTATAATCTGGGTTGCCTACGTCACAATGACTTACGTCAAAAACATATCAATCTGCTTGACATTACATTTAAAATAAGTACAATTTGAAGGCATTTTTGAGAGAGATATTGCCTTGTTTTCTATACTTAATGATTGAAAATTAAATTATAACGAATGAAATAAATAGCTACCCAACTTATACTGGTATAACCTGCATTGGAGCAGTTTACGGTTTGCTGTTTATAAAGCATAAACTGCCTCAACCCAGGATATACAGTATAACTTGGGTAGCTATTAAATTCATTCTTTAAATATATCGAGTCCCAATAATTATGTCATTTTGGAGGAATTTCAATTCATAGGTCCCTTCATAAAATAAAAATGACAAACAGTATATAAACTCTGGTGAAATTTTGTGATTTTACGGTGTTTGTGAAGAAAAGTTTAAACATTTTATAAATTAAAACATGAAAATTGATTGAAAAATATTGGTATACTAAAGAATTAATGTATGTTCTCAAATCATATCGTCTCAGCCCTACAAAAAACCATTACCAAAATCAAAAGGATTGTCTGCATTTTTCTGCAATCAAATAATTGAAATTGAAAAAAAGGATAGGGATACTAATAAACTAAGAATGACATGCATCTTATTGTAATGAAATGATATTATATTTTAATGCAGCTTTTATGTGCAAATTAACATTCAAATCTCCTTTCTCTTTAAAATTCAAACTTCTCATTTACACTGGCAAAATAAATAAGGCATTAGGATTTGAATTAACATTAGATTTTGATATCCCAGTGAACCGAATTCATTGGAAACTCATTTTTAACTATATTTTGGAGTTTTTTTTTTTTAATAGTGATTTGTAATTTTTTACTAAATGCTCTTGAACAGATTTAAATGACTCAGTCATATTTTCTTTATGAGCAAAATTTACATCCAGTACAAGACACCTCGAATCAATTTTAAACACAGGTAATCAGAAATTACAGAGCTCACCTCAACGAATGTTGTCTTTAAGGGAGCCGACTGGGGTTTTATTGTGGGAAAACTACTTTAGAGAAACTCTTTAATTTTATACCATATGTACCTTACATTGACTTCAGTGCACATGCCAAGTTTAATGAAAATCTACCTGGTTATTTTTTAGGGACCATCTCAAAATACAGGTACTTTTACTATAGGATATTATATAGGAAAATACTATTTTTCCGCACTTCGGAGCATATTATACAAATGCTACTATAGGCTTTTTGCTCAAATTATATTATTTGATGAGTAATGTTATATTGGACATTTTATGCAAGAAACGCAAAATTCTACCGTCTGGTTTCCAGAGGGGGCATCTCAAAACATCAAAATTCATGATATTTTCCTGTTTTTATGGAGTACTACAAGACATGACAGATACCACAGATTTATATATATATATATATATAAAAAATAAAAATGATTGTAAAATTCTCAATTTCCTATTTTTAAAATTTCAAGAGCATCCATTTCATACTTT